AGTGCTTTCTTGTCATATCTATCATTCCTTTTTTTCCCTGGGATATTCTCGTCTTCAAGAGGTAGGACCACGCCACCTCAAGTGCTTTCTTGTCATATCTATCATTCCTTTTTTTCCCTGGGATATTCTCGTCTTCAAGAGGTAGGACCACGCCACCTCAAGTGCTTTCTTGTCATATCTATCATTCCTTTTTTTCCCTGGGATATTGTAGTCTTCAAGAGGTAGGACTACGCCACCTCAAGTGCTTTCTTTTCTGGTTGTATCTCCATTTTTTTTTCTTCTTCTAGGATATTCTAGTCTTCAAGAGATAAGACTACACGTCTGTGCTTTCTTGTCGTATCTTCATTATTTTATTTGCTAGGATATCCTAGTCTATAATCTGAGGTGTAAGACTAGAGGCCGGTTCCAGTTTCAAGAATCAAAAACATTCACTAGGCTTTTTTAGATAAAAGTTGTTCCCGCATCCGATGCGGACATTGGGGATCGCCTTGTTAGTGAGACAACTTCCTGGACCTTCGGCATATTCTGGTTGGGTTGCCAGTTCCTTTCCATGCCGCCTTTATTTCCCCAACTCGAAGTCAGGTACCCATTACTGCTGGGTGGGCAGAAGGGGGTGAAAAAGTCTGTGTCCGAACCGAGGCTCAAACCCGGATTTTCCTATTTCCGCTTCGGAGACGAGCGCACTAACCGCTCCGCCACCAATAAAAGAAAAAAGTGACAAGAAGGAGGTTAATTTTTGTTGCGTTTTTTCCCCCTCTTTTGCTTTAAAAGAATCTTTTGAAACATAAAACAATGTCTGTGGATGAGGGGAAGAAAGATGAGCTGTTTCCCTCCTGATGTGCCTTGGGTTTACAGTGGGAACATGCTCTAGAGACTTGAAATTTAGTTTGAATAACTGTCAGCTGCAACCGCTGAGTTGTTTGGGTTTTTTTTCCTTCCTTTTGTAAAGCAACGTGCATGTGAACTAAAGCTCCAATGAAAAAAACAACAAAAGGCATGGTCTATCTCTGCTATTATTTATGTCTGGATAGAGGTCAAGTGCTCTGACCAAGTGGGTGGTTGATGGGTGTTCTGTGTGTTTTGGTCCTTCTTTCATATATAAAAAATCTGTCGTCTTTATCTCTCCTTCTTTTTTGTGTTTGTTACTCTCTTGCAACGCCTCCAATCTTCAGCACCTATGACTTTTATTGTGTTGCAAGTGCCGTAAAACTCTTACCAAAACTAAAAGCTCTGACCAAACCGCGCAAGACTTGGCTATTATATATATTTCCTAGTAACGCCTTCACTGCTTGTGATTCCAACACTTTATCCTTTATGTGTTGTTTGGTTTCCTGTGGGTGGTTGGCGGGTGCTCTGGTGTGGCTTGCTTTTTCTTTCCTATGAAACATCTGATCAATCATCCTTATCTCCCCTTCTTCTTTTTTATGTTTGTTACTCTCTTGTAACACCTCTAATCTTCTGGCGCTCATATGACCTTATGCAGTTGCGAACACCGTAAAACTTCTACTAAAACAAACTTTGGTTTCCTACTTACTTCAAGGCAAATTATCAAGGCCAGGTGATGGAGTTATTTACGAATGTATCAAAATCAAAGAGGTCAGAAATATGAAACCATAAGAACTCATGATCTATAGGTGAGGGCAGCAATGAAAAAAAGAAGAAAAAAAGAAGACAAGTTTGGAGAGTGAAGGAACATAACATGATATTTGTCTGTACTTACTGCGGGGATCTGGCGCGTGTAAGCGTGAGGCAAGGAGTGCTATTACTGTATCTATATAGTACTCCTTGGTGTGAGGCAACAGCGAGCCGAGGCGAGGGATGGAAGGATGCGCTAGACTAGGAGAGCACACACAAGTAAGTCAGTCATCAGCTGAAAATAGCTTTCTCCTCTCCCTTGACCTTTGCACTCACGCTCCAGATGTGTGTGTGTGGGGGGGGGGGGGGTGAGAAGTAGGTCAAGTGCTGGAATGCTCCACCTGCTCCATGAGACTCTCGGTTAGACAACTCACAGCTACGTTGGACAACTCTCAGACTCAAGTTGTTACTTCAGTTGGACAACTCATCCTCTAGCCTCAGTTCTTGACCGCTGTACCCTCTTCTTTGGTTGTTTCCGTGCGAGGTGTGGGGGGTAGTGTTAGTTACTGTAACAGTCCATTATATTGATGGTTACTGTAACAATTTATACCACTGCAAGTCACTGCTATAATCCATACTATTGTTAAATACTGTTATAATCCATACTACTGTAAGTAACTGTTAATAACAGTGTTACAATCCGTGCATTCTATTAGGTACTGGTACAATCCACTCGCTCCTCGTTCCGGGGAGTCGAGTTTTTGAGTAGGCCTCTATTCTACTAACAATCTGTCTCGCGAGGCATTTGGTTGTTTTTCTCCGTAAAGACAGAAGGTATAGCCCAACCTTGTGTGGTGAACCTGCTTTGTACGGGAGAAGACGTTTGTTTCTTACTTGAACTGATTTTACACACATCCAACACACGCACGCACGTACGTGCACACTCATGCACACACACATGCACAGAATACAATTGTACACACACAGATGTACACAGACACACAGATGTACCCACTCAGCGCTTCTCTCACTCTGTCCCTATCCCGGCGGCGTCACTTTGTCTGTCCCTTGCTTGATGATGAACTATCTGGAAGATCTGTGTGTGTGTGCGCGTGTGTGTGTGCAGTGTTTGCTGGAGAAGGGCTAGCGCGCTTGGTGGAGTGGGGCATACGTCCGTGTCCTACAACGGAGGAGAGATTCTCCGTGATACAATCAGAGAGGGTTGATACAATCAGAGAGGGTTGATACAATCTAGAGATTGATCAAGCTGACGAACATCTCTCCTCTTCTCTCGTCCGGTCACTGGAAGGTCTAAATATAATAATGTTACGTTGTCTTCTTCACACACACGTGCTCTCTCTATCGTTTGCTGTGTGTGTTCTCTCTCTATCACACACACACACACACACACACACACACACACACACACACACACACACACACACTCCACCCCGTCTCTCTCTCTCTCTCTCTCTCTCTCTCTCTCTCTCTCTCTCTCTCTCTCTCTCTCTCTCTCTCTCTCTCTGTGGGGTATCGCCAGAGGCGTGCCAAGTGACTTCGGTATCGCTAACGACGAACACACTAACTTATCTGGTCATTAACTGGCTGCAAGTGGTGCGCAGTAAATGACCGTGTGTGTGTGTGTGTTTGTTTTATACGTTAGATTAAGTACAGTCAGCGACAGTGTGTGTCTGTCTACTATCTCAGACAGGGGCAGTGTAGTGTGTGTCTGTCTACTATCTCAGACAGAGGCAGTGTATAATAATGTCTTACACGTTTGTGTCTCTAGATCGTTAGCTTAGTGCAAAAGATACAATGTACCCAAGGCAGAATGCTTCAATGTAGCCACGACAATGAACGATTTAGCGGCGGCTACATTAAAGCATATATATCTAGCATTGAGGTGAAGGACTCGGCCCCGGCTTGCAGGAGTTGCACAACGCCTGTACTTGTACTGTACACGATAGCGTGGACACAGCACGGTGTCCCAGTCACTATCAGGTCGTCTTTATCTGTCTCAGCCCGGTGGTGATAGGAGCGGACCTTGAGAGGTCACTGATACTGCCTTGGCTCCCTTAGCAAACTGACGCAGTAGGCTTAGTAGTTGTGATCTCTGTCATACACCAACGTACACCTCGAAGGCCGCTTGCTTCATCGGCATTATCATCATCATCATCATCATCATCATCTTCATCTTCATCTTCATCTTCATCATCATCATCATCATCATCATCATCATCATCATCATCATCATCATCATCATCATCATTGCTAAGTACCAGCCCCTGGAGGATGTGTATTCTGGGTACTCCAATAAGCGGGAACAAAATATCACATGTCGCTGGGACCAGGTTGAGCTAGCGAGACTGCGGTCGGACCATCATTGGAGCTTGAGATGATATAAGAACTTTGTAAATGAAGAGCTCAGCCCATGTTGCCGAAGATGCGGCCATGAAAAGGAGGATGTCAAACATATGTTGGAATGTCCGGGAACAATGGCAACTCGAATGGAGTTATTTGGACGAGTGGAGGTGCGTCTAAGTGTATATTGACAATGGAGCCGAAAAACAACCTCGCTCTCGCTCGAAGATTTCTTCGTGAAGTCCACCAGACCCTTAAAGGAAACCCAAAAAAAACCATCATTATCACCATCATCATCGTCATCATTGCCTTTCTCACCCTGCACCAGGGTATAGGCCACGGACAAACACTTTCCACCTTTCTCTCTCCTAGGCTAGCCTCTTGATGTTATTCCATGTCTTCTCCCCCCTCCCCCTCTCTCTCTCTCTC